ATACCGAGGATTCAACAACGACTGGAGGCTGTGCGGTCTGGTATGGTGGAAGGTCGGTGGCCGGAATGGGGTTGTATACCGAGGGCCCAACAATGACGGAAGGCTCTGTGGTTTGGTATCGATCTGTCGCGGGGGGTATCTCGGGGGAAACGCTCGCTGTGGTAGTGACAGACGCAAAGCTGGGACCTGGTGTAGGTTTTATGCTGATGGTCTCAACTGGTATATCCCCGGAGACTGCTGGGGCTGCCGTTGAGGTTGGGAATACAGTCTCTTCAGAAGGATCATCCGTGTAGATATCCGACTCAATCTTTGTGTTGATAGACTCTACTGGAGGGTCTGAAGCGATGGGCAAGGTGCCGGTTGGGTATGGCGGGACTTCGGTAGGCTGTGCCGTTATCGATGGAGCTTCTGATGATGTGAATTCAACAGGAATGCTGGTTTCAATCGAGGCTTGAACTGACACCTGTGTGGTGAAAATATCCGATGCGAGACCAGTGGTCGGTGGAGCCACGGCTGAAATGGTAAAGCTCGGCAGCAATATTTCAGTCGTTTGGTCTTGGTTCAAGCTCTCAGTCGAAGACACGCCCTGGGATCCCACCGCTGTAGCCGGGGCTGAACTTTCTACTGGAATAGAAACATCGACCGGCGTAGAAGTGGCAGTGATCAGCGGGTCTGAGGCCGAAGGACCGGGAAGATTTGTGTTCACTGATATGACTGTGTCTGTTTCTGGGAGACCCGAGGAAGATCCGATGATTTCAGAGACGGTAAAAGATGGTTGGGCAGTTTGAGCTGGGTCGACATCCGAAGTAAGTACAGTGCTCGACGCTTGGTCTTGACTTGCGGAGATACTTAGGCTACTGCTCGATATGTCAGATGTTGCGAGGTCAACGAATGAAGGAACAGGAGTGTTTGTTTCAATGGCTGTCGGTTGAATCGTGAATATTCCAGTATTGATACCGGAAGACGGGCTAGAAACGGCCAGCGATGGGTCTCCGATAATTGTGGACGATATAACTCGGGTGATTGACGGGACTTCCGTTGGTTCCAGGATCGATGAAGTTTCCTCCGGGGGGCCTCCGGCGGAAGTGACGAGTGGCGGCACAGAGAAACTGGGCAACAAAGAAAGGCTTTCCACGACGCTAGTAGCCGTAGGCTCTGCCGTAAAGTCCGAGACAATATCCGTGAATATATCTGTAACGATGGTCACCTTTGAGGCGAAAGAACTCAGAGCGAGGCCTCCAGATGAAGCCGTAGGCTCTGCCGTAAAGTCCGAAACGATACCGGTGAATGTGTTTGTAGCGACGGTCACCTCTGGG